AGCGACTGTGGCCGGGGTCGAGCCAAGCCCAGAAAACAAGGCCAAGCCCAGGGAGGGCAGCAAAGAGCAGAAGGGGAGGACCCGGCGCGGCCGCAGGACGGGCGCCCACGTGCCGCCCTCCCCGCCGGACACCGAGCGCGGACACCGCCCGCCACCCTGTCCGCGTGCAGGCGCGTGGCGTACCCACCTCCTCTCCTTTGCTGAGACGATCTACCAACATGTGCCTGAAAGGAGAGGCGCGGGTCAGGGGCGCCGGCACGGGGAGCCCGGGGGGCCCCGCCCGGAAAGGCAGGACTCTGGGGTACCGCCGCGGGGCCTGAGGGGCATCTTCGGGGCCCGGGGCGGCTCTGTGCTCCCCGCTGGCCCCGCACACCTGCACGCACAGAAACACAGCTGTCGAGTCTCACCCGAAGAGGAACCAGTCGTAGGCCACGGTCAGGTAGAGGATCTCGGCCGGCTTCAGGGACGTGTGGATGAGCCCGTCCTGGGGGAGACGCGCGTCAGGCAGCCGCCGGCCGGGCAGAGCCTGCACCCCCCGGGCCCGAACGCCTGGACAGCCAAGCCCCGCTCTGCACCCGGGGGCCCGCTGGTCTGCTCGGCTCGCAGGCCGGCCCCGCGCCGAGGAGCGCTGCCCGTCGGGGCCTCGCCGTACTCACAGCCCACAGGGAGAGGCGCAGCAGAGAGATGAAGAGAGGCGTCCGGTCCCAGCCCGAGATGCAGTGCACCAGCAGCCCGCGGTCGTCTGCCGGCGCAGGCCGGGGGAAGGAGGAACACGCTGGTGAGGCGGGATGGGCCTCCGCCCCGCGTGGGCCGGCTCGCCCAGGCTGCCGCTCCCCGGGGCGCCCCCACTTTCCTCACCCTCATCTCAGAAGGGGCAGGCGGCGGCCTCTTTCTGCACCCCCCCTTCCTTCTCGGTGCTTCCAGGGAGGCAGCTCAGCCCGGCGCGCACCTCGGCTGGGGCTGACCGGGTGTCCCCAGGTGCTGCCGGGCACTTGGGGTCCCAGGCCAGCACCTGCCCAAGGCGCGCGGCCCCCCTCTCCCCGTTCCCGCCACCTCTCGAGGATCCCGAGGGCCAGCCCGCTCCGGGGGCCCTGCGGCTACCCCGCAAACTTGGCCTGGTGAGGGCACAGGGACGGGCCTGTGCTGAGACAGACGCAGCCTCTCCCAGGGAGCCGGGGAGCGGGGCGGGGGCAGCTGGGGCGTGAGCCAGCAGGGCCACGGGGGGCGCCACCTCGGGCTCCGGGTTCAGAGGCCCAAGCCAGGGCGACCCAGGAGCCTGCAGGAGCCCCCAGAGCCGTGCGCTCGAGTCAGCCTGGCCTGGAGGTGCCGAGGCCGACGGGCCCCCACCCCAAAAAGGTCGGATGGCCCGAGAGGGCCTGGAAGCTGGCCCTCGGCTCTGGCGTGCGCCCTACGCAGCCCGGCCTGGCTTTGCCTCAGCTTTGACTTAGAGCTGAAACCTGGGCCCTCCCTGGGGGCGCAGGGGTGAGTCTCAGCGCTGCGGGGCTATCGGCAGCCCCTGCAGCACGAGTTTGATCCTGGCCCGGGAGCGACCCCCAGGGCGCAGCCGACCTCGCCTGGCTCCCGCGGCTCCCTCAGCAGTGTACCTCAGTCCATCTGCCTGTTCTGCTCCCCGCTCTGTCTCTGGCGAGCCCTCCTACCCCCCCGCACCTTTCGCCTGCACCCCAGCTCTTGAACATAAATAGATCTTCAAATAAAATAAAGCAGCGCTGAAGCCAGCCCCACAGAGCGCAAGGCCAGCTGCCGGGCAGTGACCCGCGAGGGCCTCAGAGGGCGCCAAGGGGCTACTCTGGCCTGCAGGGCTCTGCGGCGCCCAGCCCCTCCCGGGGGCACATCTTGAGGCGCCGGGCAGGGCTCACCGTCGCTGTTGATTATGGACAGCAGCAGTTTCAGGTAGTTCTGTGTCTGTTGCACCAAGTCCCAGCTCTGCGG